CCCCCCCCCCCCCCCGACTCAAATTAAATCTCTTACTCCATTGGTTACGGCAATAGGACTTCGTTGGATGCGAAGGCACACCAATTCCATGGATTTTCGGTTTTGCAATTAGGTAATATTTACACTAAATTGTCGGCTTCTCCAGATTCATCAACCAATCAAAAGCAGCCTGAGTGTGATTAAAACGCAATAAAATCACCAATGAGAGTTTAGTGAAATATTGGTTAAAATGACAATATATGATTAATTGATGGGGTAGTCCCCATAAATCAGAAGTGAGTGCAGCATCATTTGGAAATGTGGTGCAATGGAAAATCGATATTTTGTTTTAATTAGCCAAAAGAGTCAATTCTGAAACGAATTTTATTGGGACCCAATCAAAAGCAATACTGTAAACCTCCCTGTTATGCTTTTAAAATAAGCTTAAAGTCTGAACGTTCATTAAAACAAATTGCTGTTGTTATCTAAACTTAAAAGCGTTTAGTGCTTTCTGGGTTAATGTTGATTCGTTTTGCCCGTTATTGGGCCAAAAAATAATGCCTTTATTGACTAAACAACACCATTTTGTTGGTAAAGTTTGTTTTGCCATCATCATTTTTCTAGATGACTAAGACTTCTGCCGCATACTATTTCAACCGGTGCTGATTTGAATGTTTAGAATACATTTCGTGTGGTTTGCATGTACTAGGATTCACGAGAATATGCTTTCATCCAAAGCCAACGCAGAATTCATTTCAACCATTGAACTCTTAAATTCTGACTAAAATGTACTTTGGGCAAAATTGAGGAAGACTACGGTACTTGCCTAGGTCGCCCAAACAGCATGTAGTAGGTATTCAAAGCAGCGACAAACTTCTCCCGGTCCTTTAATTTCCCAAACTTCTTTGGTCGCACCGGGAACCCCCAGTTCAATCGCTTCGTTGACTCCTGACGGAGGGGATCGACGTCCACAACGTCTTCTTCCATCGCACCCCTGTCGTCCACCGCCATGCCCTCCACATCTGGTTGGAGCACGTCGCTGAATCGGAAGTCGTGCAACTGGTAGCCGGTGGGTGTTTGTGGAAGGTTTAGTACAATTGCCAGAGCCAGTACAAGACCAACTGCTCTTTGGTACATGCTAGGTGGAAATAACTGGGGAAATGGCCTCTTCCTAGCCTTATATAGTCAAAGCCTGGCCAATCAGCTTCCGTTAAAGCACCCACTCTCATTTCGGGCAGTCGAGCGCCTTGAATTTCAACGAATTCCTTTTTTCTATCATGCCTGACAGACTTATTCTGTTTCGTGAGGCAAAATTTTCACACTCTGGGTGAAAAGCACCCTTCCTCCTCACGTGATTCTCGTTTGGATCTAGCGAGAGGAGCTGTTACAGACAGTTCTGGGGAAATTAATGATGCACGTAAAATTATCCACATTTCCGTTGATTGCTTATTTCGTAGTCATTTTTGCTGGATTATTGAACTGATCTTTTTCATTTCTGAGCATTGTCATGGGACTAACAAAACACGCTGTGGGCTCGCCATTCAACAACATCCTGACAGTTTAATGATAAATTTACTATTAATCGATTCCGAGGGACAACGGATATTCCCGTATCTGATTACACAGACAAATTTACTCAACATTTTGGTTTAGTGTCGGCTCTATGCTCTCTAAAATTTAGAGCATAAATCGCTTGGTTTCAGTAAACTCATACAAAACTGTTTTAGTTTTCACTCCTCTCGTCGTAAGGCGGATACGTGGAACGCCGATGTAGACGATGCTGATCTCAAGCACAGATTTCTCTTAATGCCCCCGTTTCGTTTGAATCATGCTGATGGTGATGATGATGATGATGGTGATGGTTAGTCAGAACGCGTGTTCACGCATTTAAACAAGGACAACTTTATTCGTGTGAGAAAAATGTGGAATTTGCAACTCAGTGTCGGAATCTTTAAATTTCAAAATTAACTTAATGTTACTAAGGTATTCACATGATTTAAAAATATATTTGAGTTTGATTGGTTAATTTTTAGTATTTTTACTGTCCTTCGGTAGAATTTGTACTTTATTGGCTGTGAAGCTGCATCCAAGGTCAAAGTAGTCGTGTAGGGAAGTAGAATTGGAGTGATAGACAGACTCAGAAATCGAGAATTCACCCGCATCAATATTAGTTCGCGGAAAACAGTACAAGAAACTAGAATTAACGTCGTTTTGCACGACAGGACGAATCATCGGCAGTGGTAAATCGGCTCAAATGTGAATTTCGATTGCCCTCGTGGCACTGACACGTGACTTTCATTTTGTCACTTCTAAGTAAAAATTCTCGACACAATAAGCCTCACACATCACTTTGTGTGTCTTGGCACTTTTTTTCAGAATTCATGCTGAAACCAGCTTAAAATTAAACGTCGCTACTGACGTAAATTAATAGTAGTGGTCATTCCAATAATTCCATATGTCTTTCCACTATTTGAAACCACATTAATTAAAAATGACGTTCGTTAATCAATAATATACGTTAAGTCATTTCTCATAACTTTATTTCCATTATTTCCTGTTGCTCTCGCCCAAAATTTTACAAGTTTTGAAAACCCTTTTTGAAAAAAACCATGTGGCTTCTTTTCAGATAAAATAGTAAACTAATTTCTGAATTCTTTCAACGAAACGGATGAATATGTGAAGGGGACGAGGTCAGGGAAATACGGTGGGTGCAGCAAGAATCTTTCCCGCTTCAACTCACAAAGTTTTGCAGAATGGCCTGTGATCTTGCACTAAACAGGTGAAAGATGACGACCCAGTAAGCAGATCCTACTTGAATTTTACCACCCAGTTGGCTGAGCTGCTCTCAGTACTTCTCCGCGATTATTGTTTGCCCACGTCGGGGAACCTCATGAAAGATTATTCCTCTGCAATCCCACCACCTGGCAACACATTCACCGGATGCATCACATTTCGGCCTTTCCCATGGATTCTGCTCCTTCGATTCTACCTTCCTCTCCTTAAGCACATTCCAAATTTCACTATCTTGTCCGGTAATTACCGTTTCTTCGGCTAACTTTGTACCCCCAGCCTGGCCATGCAGTACTTTTACAAATTCAGTAATCACTTCGACGAATGCTGGTCGATTAGAGATGTGAGCTGTAGCGATCAGTGTCATCGACGTGTGTGGACAACCATGGGAGTGCGTAATTCGTAAGTTGGCATTCCGATTTGCTGGAATAGTCGTCTGGTTTCATACGTTTATGTGATATCACCACGCCAGCAGCACCTGGCTATTCTAGATGGGCGAGTTCCACAACGCTGAACCCCACGTCCACTTCCACTTCCCTCCCCTCCGTAGGGTGGTTGTGCCAGCTTCCATGGAGGCGCGCAAAGGCCAGCCGGCCAAGGTCGTTGCCGGTGTCCGACTGCCCGGGTTCAATTCGCACAGCTTGAGCTCCAAGGAGGCCTACCTGAACGCCGCGGCAGCGATCGGCCAGACGCCCGAGGAGGTGGATCTCTTCATCAAGCGCCTCGACAAGGTTCTCACTGATTTCAAGCGCGGGGATCGGAGCAGGAGTGGCACAGGGGAACCCACGACTTGATCGGCGCGGAGGGGCGTTTCTCAGGGTTTGCATTTTGTTCGCGTTCGTTAACAATACACGCACACGTGCACATTCCAACTATCACTGTCTTGTTCAGAGGCGGCTTGCTGGTAACTGGTTTCGTGTCCACAATATGTCC